ACTTGAGAATAAAAGTATCACATTGAACATAAAATGTTAATCAATAGGAAGAATTATGGGGTTGATTTCCTATCCAAATATTTTATATTTCAGTGTAATATTTCATTTTATATTTAATATTTAGAAATATATTTTTACCTCCTTGAATAAATAATATATAGATGGTAGCATAATCAGATCATTTGTTTCATTTATATCAGTTACACTGAGTAGAGATTAAATTTGCCAAATAAAATACATTATTGTGTTTTGACCTTTTCAAGCTTCTTTAATCATGTAAATATGGAACCAGTCCTATAATGTACATTTTTCATTACTAGAGTTTGATAATGAGGAATCTTTCCCTTAAAACCTGATTTTATTTAAATAGAAAAGTACTGTATCCCATTGTCCTTATGAGAAATAATCTGAATATACCCAGCAAGTAGAAATATAATACCATTATTGTAGATAAAAATAGGCTATGCTTTGGAATACAATTACCTGAGCACAAAGTAAACATTTTACCTTAAAAGTTGTGTGATTTGTGACAAATTTTTCTAACCATTTACATTAAAACAAAAAAAGCTTTCCAAAACCAGTAGTTTTTCTACAGATCAAGCAACATAATATGAAGGACTTTGAATGACCTCCAAACATAGAATAATAGCTTAGTAAATGTGGGTTCTTGCTGATATTAGACCATAAAGTTTAATAAGAGGTTTTTTGACCAAAAATCTTTTTCATGACGATAATGCCTTAACAATTAATACCTTACTTTAAAAAAAAAAAAACACCCTACTTTTCACTTGTGAATTAATTGCTAAGTTGAAAATGGATTTTTAAAATCTACCACTTGAGTAAAATAACTTGCGGTGGAGTATCATTTTTCTTTTTTTAATATGATTAAGCTATTTTAATTATAAATTTAAAAATAGAAGAAAGATTGGGCTAGCTCCTCCTATAAAGATTTATAGTCTCATAAACCTTCTAAAGGGTTACTATAAATTAGAATTGACTTGATGGCAGTAGTTTATATAAAACATAATTATGCCAAGTTTTAAATGAACTTTTATAAGGCCCACATTGTAAATGTTAACTATGAAAGTTGATACTCTAGAACATAGAAGTATACGCATATTACAAACAAAACAAAATTTGTTAATCATAATTACTCAGAATCCTGTATTGTTTACTACAGAATCTTTTTGATTCAGATACCCTAATATAATTGATATTAGCAATCACTAATTTTTAATCATCTTTGAGTATTATTTTACAAAATTAGGTGAAAATCTTTTTAATGTCTCAGGAAGGTGAGGTGGTTGCTGTCAGTGGTGGAACATCTGAAGAGGAAGAGCGAGCATGGCACAGTGATGGCAGCTCCAGGTAAGCAAATGAGTCTTTATTTCCCCAACATGCCATGGAAAAATTTTTTTTAATAGGTTTTTTTACCAGCAACTCATTTGAAAATTTCTATGGGTTTAAATTTGGTTCTCTGTAAATATTTTTTATTTCTAAAATATAATCTACAGAAACAATGTTTTTTGCAACTTGACCTACAAATGATCCTTTTTAACAGACTCTTTTTAGTTGATACTTCTTGCAGTTACTGAACACCTCAGTATTCTTACTATTGACCTTGGGAAACATCTAAGCCTCGATTTATAACAATGAGAGTCCTCTTTACGGAATTAAACTACTGTAAGTTGTAAGACATGTGGTATACAACTAATATTATCTTCCAGGAGTAGGACTAAACTTTTAAGTACTATTTCTAGTTGACCATTTCCAGTGAGGATTCCAAATCCTTATATTGGAGATTTGCATTGCTGTAGATATAAAGAAAGGCCTTGGCTAAACTTGCAAGGTCTAAATAAGAGTTTTAGGGAATTATTTTTAGAACTCTCTTTTAGTAGTGATTCTTAAAAATGAGAATCCAGGAGACTATAAGGATTCCTTTTATTGGTTCTAGATTCAAGGGCTTTTTTGCCCTGTAACAGTGATGCCCAGAAATTATAAGTTTGTAAGCACAACTTTTCCAGTGGGTAAAGATATTTCTTATCCTGCTACTCAATATCCACCTACCTTTGCCTTTGGAGACCCCACAGAGAGTTCCTTCCTCCCTTTAAGACAGGAATCTCTACATTGGCACCTACTGTACTATTCTGGGTTATTTTTCTTGAATTGAAGAATGTTATCTCTTGCTTTTTATTTTTACATGCTGTGTAATATCTTAAATAAACGTATAACTCAGAAATCCATTCTTAAAGTCATTTTGATTTTTATCTTGTTCCTTATTTTTGGAGATATTTGAATTCGATTTATTAGACATTCTCTTGAAGGTGATGACTTGAAATTTAAGGGGGGTTTTTTGAGTTCATTTTTATTTTGCTTACTTTTTATTATAGTGTCATAAAACATGGACTTACAATTATATTTTACATGTATTTTTTAAATGCATGCTCACTTCCAGTGACTACTCCAGTGATTATTCTGACTGGACAGCAGATGCAGGGATTAATCTGCAACCACCAAAGAAAGTTCCCAAGCATAAAACCAAGAAAGCAGAAAGTAGTTCAGATGAAGATGAAGAATCTGAAAAGCAGAAGCAAAAACAGATTAAAAGGGAAAGAAAAAAAGTAAATGAAGAAAAAGATGGACCAACATCACCAAAGAAAAAGAAGCCCAAAGAAAGAAAG